CCTGACCACTGGACAAGCCTCGGGGTGAACTGCTGAGGACTAGCTGCTACTGTTCAGACCACAGTGACTCCACACTGACACGGAAAGAATTTTAAAGCACACTGTGTTCTTCCAGGACTGGCGAGGACCTTGTAAAGGAAGGAATACCGGTGTACATTCCACTGTTGAAAGTAGAGAGATTTTAATTCATGTACACACGAACACAGCAGGTGACTTCCCCCTGCCATGCTGTGCACATTTCAATTTACTTGAAGTGCCAAGACAAAAGGTCATTGGGTTTTTTAGAAAGACCCATAAAGATTATCGCACTGAAACAAATTAACATGCTAGATCCCTATAATGGTGTTTACGTATTTATATATTAATAATCGAACTATGGACGATGTAAAAGTTTCTCATAAGTGTACAGAGATTATGTAATTAAAGATTATTAACACTGTTTTGTCTCTTTGTACATTACTGTGATTTTTCATGTTGGCAGTTTTATATTGCAGCTTTTAGTAGCTTGAATGTATTTTCGTCTACACCAATACGACTGCAGTACTGTAAAAATGTGTATTTTAAATTAGTATTCATCCTCTTTCACAGTTGTTAGCTTTCACAACCATATGTTTACATCACAACAATGTGAATTGGGTGTTTTCATCAGTTTGCTTAAAGCAAATACATGTAAATAAAACAAAGCAGAAAACTAGTTTCGGATACACCATGGGTCCTACAAAATAAAAGTTCTAGCTTCTGATGAGTTTAGAGGGCAGTTGTTTGTTTGTTTGTTTGTTTGTTTGTTTATTTGAGCTACTATGTATTGACAGATAGGAAGCAGGATAGCGAATCAGCCAAACTGGCCATGTTAGGCTTGTGCTTTAATAGTTGCATACAAGGAACAAAAAAAAAAGACATTGTAAATTGTCCACTTACTGTATTTGTGTGGTTGTGTGTCCCAAAAATGGATTTTTATCAGATCACTTTTCAACCTCTCAGGCTGCTTTTGTTACTGATCTAAGATAAATGAGCTCTGTCCTGATTGGCTGCTTTAACTGAGCCTCATTCAAAAAGCACTCAGAGCTCAAACATCCCTTATGACTTAAGTATGACTGGGTGGGGTTAAACTGCTGCAGGCTGAATAGATGGATTTATGTAAATGACCTGGTTCTCATGACATCACAGACCCAGTGAATATGAAAGGGACTGTTTTTCTGCACGGTTTCCAAATATGAATCTAATGAACTGTGTAGTGAATGGTATGTTTTGAAGCTATGTTTACATGTTTCTTTAAACTCCTTTATTTCTAAAAATGAGGGAAATATGGTTTCCCATGAGATGGGTCCTTTTAGTAATGACAATATCAATGATAATTTATGACAGTAATGATCAATGATGTCATATGGTCCACCCCTATATCTGACTACCCTATCGTTCGGATTCATTCTAAAAGTAGAGCGTTATAGTACAATGAAAAATATGAAAAAAAGGCAAAGGGCACGTTACTTTGTTAAAACATTTTATAATTATACAATTCATAGAAAAGAAAGCTTCGCTGACCAACAGCCTTCAGCATTTCATACTGCATGAGGAATGTGTGGCACACTGTAAGATTGTCACAATTGGCAAAGCTTATTAATTTTAGTCTGGCATAATACTGATAGAATTCATTTCTCTATATCTTTCACTTCACCAGTTACCCAATCCATATAAATGTAATCACTGTCCAAAAAAAAGTATCTCCACTTTTGTCTGTATTCAGTTTTCTATCTTATTTGAGCTCACCAGCTGTCCTTTACATTCAGTGAAAAATATATACTGAATGGGCCAACAGAAATGATTCAAAATTGCTTGGAATAAAACATTTTACATTAACTTGTATTAAAAGTAAAGAGCGGTTTTGCCCTCTCCTGTAAAGTTGCCATTTTTGATAGTTTTCTTTGGACAGCGACAGTATATAAACAAGTTAACCTTGTGCTTTTCTCAGATGATATTTGTGTGCGATTTCTCTTCACTGATGACAGATTCTCATGAGCCAGATTACAGTACGTGCTACGAATGGCTTTGACATCTGCAGATGTATTGCACACATACACACACCTCGACACGGTGAAAACACTGGAGTACAGTAAGCTGACAGAATCTACCACCCAACTTCTTTTCACATTTTCATAGCATCCGACACATAGAGTCCAACCAACCTTTAAAAAATTACTAAAAACAAAAGTTTAAAAAGACAGAACAAGGCACTGGACAAGCTTGAAAGACTGGCACATGACAGACAAAAAGGTGGGAAAAAAGCTCAAAATTTGGTTCTTTATAGTCCATTTTTTCAGTCTCATTTCTGTCAGCTGCTTCTTTGAAGGCCACAAATTTAGTACCATCTGCTCGATTTCATCTTAGTTTAGGTAAATGAGATTCAAGGTGAATAAATACAGCTGGGTGCGCCTGCTGTCACTCTTCGAGGAAACCGAATAGGCCAGTGATTCTCAATCCCAGTCTCTGGAAGGTGAGGATGGCTCCTGCACCACTGGATTTGAGAATCACAGCTGTAGGTAGAAAAATACCAATGCAAACCATGAGGAGAATAATGTCTTCAGGAGAAGGGGAAGGTTATTCATGGTCCTTTGCTCAACTCCTAACCAGCCCTTCTCCATGATACATGTAAGTGCAGACAAATTTTAGTACCATTCCATGCTAAATATTCACGTATCAACACCTTTCAAGTGTAAGTGCATCCTAGCTCAGCTGACATGACCAGACCTGAAATTACTCTAATACTGTCAGTGTAACTGATTACAAAAAGTGACAGGGCACCACTAGGGGTGGGAATCTCTTGGAACAGCTTACGAGTGCCAAGATGTGATTATAAAACAAACCTTTATGCATTTTGATTTATGTTTTCTATAGCCTACATATTTAACTGTATTTGTCCTTGAATTTGAATATGAATGTACCTTACACCCTGCAAAACTAATATTTTATCACACTGTAACAATGTAGTCGATAGTGTTTATTTGGTAACACTAGGTCTGTCACAATCAGGAAATTCTGGCTGATGATTAACTGCTGTATAAATAATTGCTATTAAAAGTTAAATTATCTGATTTTATGCTATAAAAGTGTAAAGCAGCTAAACTGGCTAATAAGCCATCTTGCTTATCTAGCTCTTTACAGGCAACCAGAGACGATACTCTGCACTGTACTGTACGCAACAGCGTCAACCAAAGCTGACTTTATTCTCTTGAGACTGAGAACATGTGAGCAAAAACATGTTCAGCAAGCAAACATGGTAGAGCACACAGTTAAAATTTAGGCTCACATTATGCATTATATTACAATATGATTGTGCGTTCTAATGACTGTGGAAAATAAGTGCCGTCAGCTTAAATAATTCCAATTATCTCAAATAACTGATCAGCCAATCTTGTAATAATTGTGACAGGCCTAGATAACACTTTATTTAAAGGCTACATAGGCACTTCATAATGTATACATACGCACTGAATAACATTTATAAAGCAGTGTTAATATTTATAACAGCTTATGCCAATAATTGCAATCTCATAAGATGTTCTATGAGGTAAATTACACTGTATTGACATAATGGGCCTTAAACTCAAGCGACATTCCAGACGACAGAATCTTACAAGGCGGAGGCCTTAAAATCTCAGATTTATTACATTCTAAGGCTTATTATTCAGTTATTACAGGGACTTCGATGCAAACTGGTTGAGGTATTCTTAGGCTATAAAAGTGTGTAATAAAACTTTGGGCCTGCCGGTGAGGCCTGGCCATTCACAGGGTTATGAGACCCACATACCACTTCTATTCTTCTGAGAGATTCAAAAGTGATCATTCTCATTCATATTTTGCTGTACGTATATAAATATTCCCCTACAAAATCCCTGAACTTGAGGAAAGCAGAAATAGCATTCGTAATATTTAACTCCATTAAAAGCAGAAGTTCTCTGTCTGCATTTCTACTTGAGCACAAAAGAACAAAAGCATAAACTGAGTTGTTAGATATTGTATTATTTTGATGAGCGACATCTATTAAGGAGATGTGTTACTGCAATCGAGAAATACAGAGTGAGTTGTTGATGTCTGCAGTCGTACAGGTCTCCATAATAGACACTGTACTTTAATTCAAGTAGAAACATTTGGAACTACTATATGGTGTTCTTAACTAGGCCTCAATTATTTTGCAATTATGCTTCATACCAGTGTCATAAATGGAATAAATGTCTGTCACTTCAGTATAATTCTTTCACTACAATGTCATTTGCTTCACAAAACATCTGTCATTTTGCGATTACTGGCCGTTTATAAATATTCAAGCGATGCTCTATAAATGTTATTCAATTCCTTTGCATGTGTTATGAAGTCCTCTTGTAGACAGTCTTCTAATAAAGTGTTAAGTTTATTTTTTCTTAGTAATGCAGAATCTCTGAAGACAGAAACTGCAATGTAGCTTAGAACAGATTATTATTCCCACCCCTAGGTAACCCTCTAACATTAGACTTAACTATAGACTTTCTTAAACCATCACTTTTTTCCTGCACCCTGCAATTAAATAAGACAGTATTGGCCTAACAGGCCTTTTTTTCATCGCACCTATCAAATACAATCCAATGCAAAGTGTTTTAAGTACTTGTGGTATGTGCCTTCAATTACACATGCACTATATGTCCAATAGTTTGCAGACAACTACTCCTCAGACGTTAATCAAGGGTATTCATTGTGAGTTTGTCCCCCTTTGCTACAGTAACAGTCTCTACTCTTCTTGGAAGGCTTTACGTTAGATGTTGGAACACTGCTGAGGATCTGCAGCCATAGTAGCATTAGTGAGGTCAGGAATGTTCTGGTATGATTAGTTCTGGATCACAAACGCAGCTCATCCCAAAGGTATTGGATGGAGCTCCATCACTCCAGAGAATGCAACTCCACTGCTCCACAGCCTATCACAGGGGGTCTTTATACCCCTCTAGCTAAAGTTTGGCACTGAGCATGGTGATCTTAGGCTCATTTGTGGCTGCTCCAGAGCGTCCCATTCTATTGCCAGTGCTTTTCTATGGAGATTCACTAATTAGAAGAGGTGTCTGGATACTTTTGGACATCTAGCCACACATTACACTGGATTTTGAATGTGCTTCCAACAAGAAGTTCTATTTTTTTGCATATAAATACTTTAGGAATACATATATACTTATATTTAACCTCAGCCTGACTGTGGCAGTAACATGCAATTTCCCTGTCGGTCTCTTGTCAAACATTATTTGGTCCCTGATCCAAGCTAATAGTGACCTACATAAGTGAGGATTTGTGAGGTGCCTGCTGTTTAGTAACAAGTGAGACTTGACATTGTGCTTCTATGGGGTTTGTGCTTACAAACGGTCCACAGGCTAAGACACCGGAACCCACCCTATATACAGTGTACCCTAAGTGTGGTTATGCTGAGTCAATATTTGGCAACCTTAACTGTCAAATCAAAATAAAAACACATTATTTACACCACGGATGGTTCAGGTTAAGTAAAAGCAATTATAAAATGGCTTTAGAAAACGCTCTGTGCTGCACAGAGGAAAGTGTACCGAGTTTCTTGTTAAGGCTGATTTATGCTTTTCGCACCAATGAGCTCTGCTGAAAGACCAACGTGTTCTCTTCAAGTTGCACGGATTTCCATGTTCAATGTAGCAATGCATTTTACTACTCCATCACTGCAGGTGGCAGTGTAGCCGAATAACAGCTGCTACAGTTTGTTAGGTATTGCAGGAGTGTCTTTCCTACTTTCTTTGGGACTTGATGGTATTAAGGCTGCATTCCATTGTACTTGGAAGTTGGATAAGTCCTGCTTAAGTGCATTCACAGCTTCTATTTGGGACAGCAAACTGAAGTTTTTATAGCAGCTTAAAAGGTTTTAATTTTTCAAAGTTTCTGGTAATTAAATCAAGATCTATACAAAGTCATTCAGAGTGGTTTGAAATGCTCCATTCTAGAGAAACTTAAGAAGTCAGAAGTCAGAGTTGTTCACAGTAATGGTGAACTGTGACTAATAAAGCTGGGCCTTCAATTTGGGCCATAAATTTTAAAACACAGCCAAAATTTCAGGAAAAGAAACCCACCTCTCCAATAATGCTAACTTCTGCTAGTGTCCCCATGGGATTCCAATAGTTTGTTAGCGCTAAGTTAATGTTGATTCACAAGAATGTTTCTTAGCAGTTTTACATTAAACACTGTCAATTAAACTTTCTTAAAGACATTCCATGTTTTACTTTAAACTGGTGACAGACATATTAGCATATGCTTTAACTCTGTAGCAGTTTCACAGGGACTCAGTAGAGAGGCCTGGTACAGTGCTGCTGCTGTTTTCCCATTTCTAACAACCCACTGATTAGATTGCTGCTCATATTCACAGTTAGTGACATATCTAGGACTTCCAGAAGGAAGGAGGAGTTTTTTTCTAATAAATTTGGACTCAAAACAGGATTGGCTGTTTCCTTTGTCACTTTGCAATTATGCTGATAATTATGACAATTATGATAACTTTGTTATTTTAACATTTTAGGCCTTCTCTTTAGCTCTTGAAGTCCTAACCAATAGAAGAAGAGCTTGTTTAGCCACTTAGCTATCTACCTAGATACCACGGAGGAAAAATATGCCCGATTGGCCAATTTTTCATAGGGTGTTTCAACAATATAACTCCTTTGTTTCCAAACACTGAAACAAGAGCAGTACAGTAATGCTAATTTGTGAGTTTAAATTAAAGCATGATTCTATTGATTAAAAATGAAATAAAATTAGACATGTATTTTTTACTTCCTGGAAATCATGAGGCCTTCTCTGAAGGGTTCAAAGTGGTGCTGATAGGAACCAGACGTCTGAAGCTTTTAATGCCTCTAAAGTAAATAACATGGATATATCTGCATTAAAAACATTGCAACCTCTGGTTCCTATCACCACCACTATAAAGAAATCCAGGTTGGTAAGTTTCCCTACAATTAACCAGTTCACAAACCTCTCTTAATGACATTGTTTACATCTCAACAATAAAATTATGCAAAAATTTGGAAAAACTGGTGGAATTCCCCTTTAAGAGGATCTACATTAATGCTGCATTGTTCCAAAACTATTCTTATCACTTCTTATCTATTCTGAAAGTTTGTGCCCTAGTTTTCAGGCTGGGACTTTCTATTTAGGTGATCGCTTCATTACATATTTCCAAGTGAGAGCTTAGAGTATAATGGAATGCAACATAATGCCACCAACTAAAGTCACTCCAATATGGCAAAATGTACGAGGCTTCATATTCATGTGGCTGCGAGAAGCATAAACAAGACATCATGCGTCATAATCTCTTAAAGATCTCCTCTGTACATGGAAACGGAGGACTTTTTGTACAGTTTCTGTGAGGTCCACTAGGCTAAGTGCTTCGAGAACTTATAGAAGAAGGACTCCAGGCAGGGCAGAGGTCAAAAGGTCTCTGAGTCCGAGTCATTCTCTGTGGGGGTGCCCTCGCTGGAAGGGCCCCGTGGCCCCTGGGGGCTTTTGGCTTGGTGGGGCAGGGACCTCAGCAGGGCCCCTGGGGAGGGCGCTCCGGAGCTGCAAGGGGAGCAGAAAGGCATCATGGTAGCCAGAATGAGAGCCAGGCAGTCAGCCACTTCTCTGCTAGGAGCGCAAGCCAGAGCGGGAGTAAAACCTGGGGCGAGAGACAGGCAGAGACAGGCAGAGAGAGAGAGAGAGGGCAGTGGGACAAAAGACAGTGGCGGGGAGGTGGGTAGGTGGGTGGGAAAGAGCAGGCATTCCATTATTACACAGCCAGCAAGACAAACGGGACAGGTTTGGGGTGCAAAAGGGGACACACGTACATGAAAGCTTTGCAAATCTGCAAAAAAGGCTCCATAAAAAGAGAAGAAACTTCTTTCTTTTTAGTTTTGGAGAACAAAGAGAGGCAGACACAAGCTGCAGAAATCACATCCTACAGTTTCAATCTCAATGGAGAAGCAGGCCGCATGCAGCTACGGCGCTGGACACACACCGTTCTCGTCCAGAACCTGCACGCTGGCACCGCGGGACAACAGCTCCTGCACCGTCTGCTTCAGACCACTGCGGGCAGCCAGGTGGAGGGGACTGTGACAGACAGAACAACAAGACTGCTCTCAGATCAAAGTGCAGTTCACATGCACATGAATAAAGGATTCATTCAAGAATCAACACATCACCTTCATCATGACAAAACTTTGTAACTTCGTATTTTCTGCTTTATTTTACTTATTTTTTTAAGAATGACAGCTGCGCTTGCATCGTCACACAGAAATGGCCAAAAATTACTCTGAATACAATCTCATTACATATATTAAAGTTTAGAACGCTTTCTTCTAATACTGTTATAAGGTTTTATTATATATTTATTTAATATGTTTTTAGATGGTTTGCATTGCACAGAATTACATAAGCATTTTATCTGAATATCAGTTTAACTAAATGCACATAAAACTAAGAGCACTTTAGAGTAGTGAAAAAAAGACTTACAATGTGTTCTCAGTATTTTCAGATTATTTATTGATATTAAAGGAAAAGTTTGTTGAAAAATCAAATTTACATGATTTTCCACTCAAATCAAATACAGTCAATCTGCCAAGACATGTTTGGTGTCAAAAATGGTGCTTCTTTAGTTTAGAACTGGAGCTATGACACTAACATTGCTAACAAGCACTACAAGTCAATAGTCTCCCAAAGCAGATACCCAATATGACTCACTATGAACTATAAAACAAAAGAACTTCTCAGAGTAGCCTAAAGAGGGGGCAGCAATTCAGGATATCTGGAATCACTTTTTCCTGACCACAATTTATATGTATAATTCCGCGCAGGACGACCAAAGAAGGAGCTAAGAGAATTCACAACACAAAGGTAATCCAGATAGAGAAGCTATACTAGTGTATGCAGAAAATCAATTCAATTTTCAAACGCAAATTTGAGGACCACATTTTGATGAGTCTGAACCATACATGCTCTAACTTGACTATACCCATGAAAAAAAGCATCAGTTGGATGGCAGACCTCTTAGCACGAAGCTGAAGTTAGCTTCTTATTCAAATTTTTTGATGTTATACTGTGACACCAGAAGGTCAGAATGTCAGAATTCCTACACCGTTTAAGGTGGAATGGACCAATGAAATGAGATGCTGCCGAACAGAAACTCAACGTAACCCTCGCCCTCTTTGCTACAGGGCCTGACAGTAAGAAAAAGTAAGCAGTGCTCACTTCGGTTTCACTTCTTTGAAGTCTGTAAAACATGTACTTGTTTCAGCTGTAGATTTTAGAACATGCTGGAGAGCTTCCGTGTAATTGTCAAGTGAAAAAACATGATCACCACATATATGGAGATTTTTGCTGGGTAACTTGAACGTCAATCTTGCTAGTATATTGTTCCCAAAAACCACAGTTTGCATGTGTCTGCATCAGCAGGAAGTCAATGGGAAAGTACCAGACTACCCGCAGATTTCTTTGTTCTGTTTTTACAAAATGGAACAAAGCACCTTATCACAGGTTTACAGTTATTCAACATGCAACTTCTAACTTAGTTACTGTGACAAAGCCTTAGGTATAACTGTGCTAACACTACATACTTGTGTTATTTACAACACATCCCTGCCCTGCAGCCAGATTTTGAAGGTACAATTGTACAGAAAAGCAGAACATCATGGATGATGATTCCAAATTTAGCTGAAATGTGTACACAAGGTCTGTCCATGCCACTTTACCAGTTTACAGAGCTTATCGAAATAATTTGATGCAAATATATGAAGATTGTGGCACATATTTGTGGAATCAGTTTTGGTGGCAATTTTGTTCCAATGTTAGTTAGCGCTATTAGCTTGGCAGCTCCAGTTCTAAACTAAACAAGCAAAATTTGGACACTAAACATGTTTTGGCTGATCAGCTGCATTTGGGGTAAGTAAAAAGTTACATAAATTCAAAAAATCACACTAATTCTTTAAGGTCTTAAATATTACTTTACACATCCAATATAGAATACACGAAATCTTGAATCCATTTCTGTCTCTTCCTAATTGCAGTCAGACTGGTTTTATATGAATTTAATGTCAGAAATGCAAAAAATCACAGGAGGGATCATTCTCTTCTGTTTTGTTGTTATTGTTAAAGCATTGTTTTAAACACACTTACGTCTGGAGTGCAGCATTTGTGGCGCTGACAAGTGTGGCATCTGGAAGTTTCTCTAAAATGAACAAAGTACAGTCTTCCTTTCCCTGTACATGTAGCACAGATTGTATACGTTTAAGAGGCCTTGAAAAAGAATGTATACTTGGTGAATATAAATAAATGATGACTTCACAAGGCGCTGGGCTTTTAACGGAGTAAGATATTCACAATTAAAGCCCCCTCTGCTGGACACTCACATTACTGCAAGCGAGATGTAGCGCGGTGTTGCCTTTCTGATCAGTCAAACTCAGGTCTGCACTGGCGCTGGTGAGAAGAGCCTCTGTTCAAAGTGTTACAGTCATTACACACATTATCTGACATACGTCATTCACATCAGTGAGTATAACAAGAAGAGTGGAAAAGGAACCTGCTTCCTACCTACAACTCCGACTGCTCCTCTCTCCGCCGCCATCATGAGCGCACTGCGCCCTGATTGGTCCAAGGCATCCACAGGAGCATCATGGGCCAGGAGCAGCTGGACACAGTCCACATGGCCGGCAAACGAAGCCGCATGAAGAGGTGTCCTGAAACAGATTATATTAATGTAGTATCTGATGTATTCAGCAACTACTTTGCAACTATTTGACACATCGTTCTGAATCTGACAGGTCCTGACTACTCATTACTGGTTCAGACACATTTCCCGAATACACGTTAGGCTCAGTTTGAATATCACGTTCAGGTTCGCACAGCTTGCCAGACTTTACCCTGCCTTTACACCTGTGTTTCTCCTTGCTCTATAGCGCAGCCAAGTGCATTTATATGTATATATTTCAGCCAAAAATTAGGATTAAAGAGGAATTCCACTGATTTTTTTAAATTTCTGCATAATTAAATGGTTAAGATGAAAACAAAGTCATTCAGCGTGGATTCTTCACAGTGGGGGATGGTATAAAAACTCAGAAGACGTGTAGGTTCACTGGTTGTTTTGGATAGTAAATAAAATCTTGGTTTACCACCACTGTGAACAATTCACTCTCCAAGTTTCTGTGGAATGGAGCATTTCACATCAAACCTCTCAGAATGACTTTGTTTACATCTCACCAACTGACCTGGGCAGAACATTAGAAAAATCAGTGGAATTCCTCTTTAAACAGGTATATCTGCACCACCCAGCGTGAGAACAGTGCAATATGGAAGGTTTCTCTACACTAAATTATTTGAGACATTGTTTAAAAGTGATGCTTGATGAATAAATTCATTACATCAGGATTTAAACTTTCATCAGTTGATTAATTCATTATATTATTATATTTAAAGCTCTAGAGTAAATCATTTTGAGTAAGCTGAAGGGGTCTGCATCTGTCCAGGGTGTTTCCTGCCTTTCGCCCATTAATTGCTGGGATAGGCTCCAGCTCCCCCCACAACTCAGAAGGATAAGCTGCTTTGAAAACGTGTGTGTGTGTGTGTGTGTGAAGGGGTTTGTCGTTTAAGGGGCTTAACAAGCTCATCAATCTACTCAAAGCAATACCTGTCCTTGGAGTCCTTGCAGGTCACTATCTCCGAGCCCATGGCTTCCAGCAGAAGAGTGGCACAGGACTCGTGGTTATTCACTCTATAAAAAGACAGAGAGATACAGCACTGAAGATGAAGACCCGATGAAAAGAGAAATTAAAAAAGTACTAAATACATACACAGCACAGTGCAGAGGAGTGAAGGGGTTTCCATCAAAACACCGACAGCCTTTCTGTTCGAGTAGCACCTCCACACATCCATCATGACCTACAAAACACACACCAAAACACACACTGTTGTTTTGCTGGTTCTGAACAGAGATCTTCTGGACTGTGACCTGCTTTTGTGCCAAACAGGTGGGCTAGCACGCCTCCCCTCCAGAAGGACACAGTACAGCTCAGAGTGAACTTTTGCTGAGCCTGACTGCCAAACAGAATTCCAGAAACCCTTTTCACCAGAGAACTGGAGCGTTCCAGACCAGAGCCTCCACTGAAGCTCCTCTCAGCCTGGAGAGGACAGTAAGCTTATTCTCCAGAAACAAACTAACAGTGACTGAGAGAGGGAAGATGAAAATGAGCATGGAGTTTTGGTGTGTCTGGTCAGGTCTCAAGATTCTACTACTGGAGAGGTTCTCTGGGCCTGCCCATGAAAATGAGCACTAGTCCTGGACAGCACTAAGGAGGGTCTGTAATGTTAGAGAATCTTCAGTGCTGGCGTTACATGGTGACTTCAGTGGGTTGAACCTTACATGAAACATGGTGAATTAACTATCCAGCCCACTAACAATAATGTGATAGCTGTTTGAAAGACTGCTTTGTTAACCTGCTCTTAGCACAGTCTACATACAGTGGTCCCAAATGTATTTGGACATTTGTGCTATACTTAAAATGTACTAAGTTTGTTGTGTTAGATTCTAAAACTTTCAAAAGGCGGCTGGTTCAGATTGTCATCAGTTGAGCTATTTCTTTGCTCACTTCTCTTTTGCACGTCTGTGCTTTATGGTACTCATAGTGCAGTCTGGCTGGAATTCACCTCCAGGCTTTCTCCACACTAAGAGTCTACCAGCAGTTGTGCTTAAAGTGTTTTTCTTTAAAACAAATATAATTTTGTTAAACATTTTCTAAAGTTTCCTAAAGAACTTCATTAAAGTTTTCCAGTGGTTAAAGTGTCCACATAGTTTTTGGGGGCCACTGCCTATCGACATCCTCAGATTTTACAGAGAGCTGTCCCAAAGGATGACAATTATTACAGAAGAGATATAGATGCAAATTTATATGACCAGAACTTTGTTCCTGACCAGTGAAAAACTGAATGTGTTGAATGTGACTCACTATTTTTGCATAGAACAGTCAAACTTTCAAGCTTCATGCAACTCACAACACTTTGTGTTTGTTTCTTTTTAGTTGAACTTGCTAAAACGTATATTTCAAAAGTCGTCTGTACAGAGCTTTGTTAAATAAAATGGGACTGTTCTGGGTGTGTCACTGCTCTTGGAACATGATGTTACAGTACGTGTATTGTTATAAAGTAAGTATTGCTGTTCATTTACTAATTAACGTAGTTGTACAATATAGAACATACATTTCATGGACAGGAGAGTTGAATCTACTATGATGCTACTTGATGCTTGCGTGCGGATAAGAAGACTGACCGTTGTAGCAGGCCCAGTGTAGGGGTGTGTATCCTTGGTGGTCTCGTAGCGGCGGTGTGGGTGGCTCAGCACAGGCTATGCTCAGCAGTTCGCTCAGCCAGGACGCGTGGCCCTTCGCGGCAGCAAGGTGCAGAGCCGTGCGGCCCCTGGAGTCTCCCAACAACACTGAGGCTTCCTGTTCCAGCAAACACTGCACACACTCCTCCTGCCCACACAGCAGCTGAGAGAGAGAGGGAAAGTGAAAGAAACAGAGAGAGAGAGAGAGAGAGAGAGAGAGAGAGAGAGAGAGAGAGAGAGAGAGAGAGAGAGAGACAGAAAAACAAAGACAATTTACCACCTTAGGCGAGGCACCATAAAACCGCTTGGCGGCTGTATCAAAATAGAAATGTTGTGAATATTGTCTGCAGACATAAGACTCCTCCACGTGGGCCGTCTTCTGAGTCACTCTGTGTGAGTGTGTGTATAAGTGCGTTGGGGGGATGCACACAAAAATAGTACTCATTGGACCCACCCCTAAGTGAAGTGCAGTCAGTCCCTGATGGTCAGCTGTGTCCACACTGGCTTCTCGCTCCAACAGCAAAGACACAGCATCTACATGACCCCCGACCACTGCCAGCATTAGGGGGGTCCTCATTAAAACACACAAAGTATTTCTCAATTTCATGCTTACACAGGATAAATGAAATGAAATATATTGAAATATAATAACATAAATATAATATAATAATAGTAATAATAATAATAATAATAATAATAATAACAAGAAGAAGACCTGGTGGCCATTTTAACTATTTTTACTACTGAAATATCTGTATTTTTTAACAAACGGCATCTGAATATCCCAATGACAATATCATACACTGTTACGAATAAAAAACAAAACAGTGAAGGTTTAAAATGTGTTATTGTGTGCAGCCAACATAACAGATGATCTGGTTGATTCAATGATTCAGGGGAAGAGCGGGGCTGGTTTTTAAAAAACTAGCAGTGAATAAAAGCTGAGCATCTTAGCTAAACACAACATTTGAAAATACTTCCTGGAATTAGTGAATTCATGGCTAAATTCCTGTTGTGCATTTGTGCCAACCAGCCCCAACATGGAATGTGTCAAGGGGAGAGTTTGCATAACTTTAAAAAGCTATAGATTCAAGGAATAACAAGCAGCAAACAACAATAATCTGAGCTTTCAATTAATAACAACCCACAAATTAAAACAACTACATAACATTTATAATTAATTAAACATCAGAAATGCTTCATTTATATTATCATTGGCTTGTACTGGAAAACTACGAAACAAAAAATAATAAGAAAAATAAAAGACACTTTACCAAATTAAAACCTTTTTCTTTTATTAGCCTATGTTAAAACATCATTATTAATTCTAAACAACATTCTTCTGTTTAGTGAGTGAAACATTCTCTTTTTGAAATATAAGTTAAAATAATAAAAAATCTTTTGATATCTTTTCATGAAAAAGTCATATTTAATACACAAATCTTTTGAGTTAAAATTTATGTTGTACTATTTTCATATTGAGATAGACTGCCTTATCATCAAATAGTTCACAGTTAAGAAAAACTTGTTACAAATGTAATGTAGTTACTGTGAATTAACAAACCTATTGTTTGCTCCACATGAATTAAATTAAGCATAATAAATTACAGTTAGTGTAAGGTCACTCACTGTCCCTGAGAATCAGCTGCATCCACCAGATCTGCACTGTCAGAGTCTTCCAGTAGGAGGCGCACACACGACGTATGACCATTCATCACTGTGAGATAGAGAGAACCATACACTTAATAGAGAACATCCTCTCTATCGCTGGTGATATTTGGCAAATCATAGCCAAACTGCTCATCACGCGGCGCTGTGTTACCTGCGAGGTGGATGGGGGTGCGTCCACGGGCGGTGTCTCTGCTGCGTGGTGATGCTCCGTGGTTCAGCAGGGTCAGAGCACAGTCAGTGTGGCCCCTGAGGGCGGCCAATGCCAGTGCAGTGCGGCCCACCTCATCCCCCTGATCCACCTCGCAGTGACCCTGCAACAACACCTCCAGAGCCTTTGCATGACCATGATACGCCTGCAACACACACACACACACACACACACACACACACACACACATACACATGAATTCAGACACAGAACATTATACAGTTTACAGCACTTTACAGTACAACTTCAAATGTGGTGTTGTCATGATTGTAGCTAGCCATGCTTAAAAGGGAATTCCAATGATTCTTAGAGTGTTTAATGCCTCTAAAAGCTCCCTCACAGAAAGTTATTACATGCAATGGTTAGTTTTTAGACAAGGTTCTGTTCTAAAACATATTAATTAAAATACATTCATGATGGAGAAATACACGCAAGGCAAAAACGTATTTCTTCAGATTCATCTTTACCATTATCAACATTACATATAACACTCAGTAGGTTCATTGGTCATTTTAGAAATTAAAAAAAGGCTGTTTACACTATGGACATTGCAACCTCTGGTTCCTATCACCTCCACTGTGAATTAATCACCAAACGTCTGTAAAACCTCGTTCACTTCTCAATGACAATATGAAAAGTGATCATCTTTTATTATAATTATGTTTAATAATTTTTTCATGCGGGAAAACTCGCTTCTTCAAGCCCAGCACACGAAAGCACTTGTTGGGCTTCTAATACTGTGTTCCCACTAATCTAATTATGCAACGCAGGTTATGTGTACGTGTGGTAATTTGACCTGCTCTGTCATCACAGCTCTTAACAATGGGAAACTCATATTTCGATAACAGTAAAAATATGCCTGTTTCTGAGTGAAACAAGTATGAGGTAGGCCTCTGAGCTAGCTCTTTTTTTTGATACTTGGTAATAGGTGGGGGTGGTGGCAGGTAGAGATGAAAATTGATTTAATTGGTTAATATTATTTTTCTTCACCCAATGGTGCACAGTGACGTAAAACGATAGTTTCAGAGACAGTCAAAGTCATTAAATTTTAATGGAATATTACAGAAAAACTAAAAATGTCATAAAAAATGATTTCATATAATGAATCATACCTTACAGCATTAAAAAGGGTTAGGGTTACCAATAACATATACTGCAACACTGAAAGCTTGGAAAGTTTTGCTAGTCATGTAGTTCAAAGTTCTTTTGATACTGTTCATGATTTCATGTTATGCAGCTTTATGATGTGCTATTTCTATCAGTCGAGTGTGAGCATTTAGATAGAGGTACAGGTTCTAGTGAAGACCACCTGACATCACATCGTGTTCTTTGGGATTAACATGTAATTGGCTTTGGCTTAGGCATGAGCTGATGACGTAGGAAGCAATAAGGATTTCTATCAATGTGTGATATGAGTTGTGTTACTGTGAGCCTGGCATGACTCACGGCTAGATGCAGCGGACTCCGAGTGCTGGAACTCTCCGTCTCATCCTGATGGTTGTCTTCTCTTTCCAAGAGCTTCAACAACAACAAAAAAAACTCTCAATGAATCAATGCCCAGTGAATGCAAATGCAAAGTAGATCTTGAAAATACAGACTAGTTCTTAGAAATGACCAGCAGAGGGAGCAGTTTAACATGACACTATAAAGCACTAAAAAGAGACATTTCAGACATGTACATCAGCAAAGTTCGTGACAAGGTGATTAAGGTTGTCATTATTGGTTATATTGGTGATCAAATAATCAATTGCCTTGGTGATTAATATTTTTTAACCCTTTAGACCCAAATATAATTTCTAGAACACTCTTGTGGATTCCTTTATAGTAAAACCAAAGGGAAAAACAAATATAAGTTAATTTAATTTTAAAGCCGAGTGCCACCTCTTTAACATGATAACAAAACCAAGGGATAGAAATCAACACAAAGCCATCAACCCAGAACAGAAATTGTAATTGTCTTTTTGAAAATACCTAATAAAAATGATCATTACTAGAAAATAAAGAACAGAGATATGAAACGAACCTACCACTACCACTAACAATCAACATCATACAAATCATGATACACGATTATATAAGATACAAGATATATGATACATACAAAAAATGTCGTACCTATGTAACTAAAGGTTCCACACTAAGAACTGAAGCCCCAGTTACAATTGCACAAGCCTCTCCATTTATTGAAAGACTTAGTCAAGAGAAATTTATAGATTTAGATAAAGGGAAATACAAGTTAATTTGTTTGGCTCTGACTTCGGTCAGTGTTACTGAGGGACTGAGACTGGAAAATGGAAAACACAGAAATAAACGCATAGCTAGCCAATTTAGCTGATTCATATAGGATGCAGTATGTCTACCATATCATAGCTGTTATCCATGTCAGCAAAATCCCATCAGACCCAATATCTAATAAACAGCGTATCTGAACACTCTTGGGTTCCCAACCTTTTGCATATCATGCCCCACACAACACGCCACAAATTTTTTGCGGCCCACAAGAAGTTTTAACCAGCCCAAATGTTTCAAATTCAAGCAAATATAACTAAAGTATCAATGTAGCCTTCTGTATTTTATTTAACTGTATAATCATGCAGTCATTTATCTATGATGGATGAATTTCATTCAACCCAAATGCAAAACCTTTTGCGTCAATTTGCACTGAAAATGTAAACATATATAGCTAGTTGTCAGTTACACTGCTCATGCTTTTTGATAGACCAATTAATGACCTCGAGTTAAATATTTAGGCACTTTTGATGTTTTATTTTTGCAAATAATTATCACACCATTAATATAATGTATTAAAAGTACTGATTTGGTTGAATGTCTGTATATTGTTAAGCTTTGTGGTTTTAAAAATAAATTAATTAATTTAAAAAAAGACTGCAAACAGCTGACTAGCAGCATGCACACCTCTAAAGGGTTGGCCGTGATGGCTAACGCCCTCCTGAAATTTGACTGGCTACCCCAAAATTTCAGTTGGGTCACTGGCTTCCACCTTGCTTTGACGTGGGTGTTTGCGCCTTTAAGAGGAGAGTTGTTTGCTCCATTCACTCATTAATCCCCACCTACAACACCCCCCCTAGCACATTCTCATTCTGAGCAACATTCTGCCCACTACTCCAGCACTCTGCCCCTTTCTTGCACTTTCTCTTAGTGAGTAGGTTCGGCGAATAGTGGAACTGACATCGCCTACACACCCTCCAACGGCTCCTTGAAAGCACCCTAGACTCCCATCCCTAACCCCATTGTACATTCATACTGTCACCTTGCTACTCTCTGCTACCTCTAATGAAATTCTCTAGAATCACCACTGCCCAGCAGTACCACCATAGCACACTGGGAGTCAAAGCCCACAGGTTGAAACCCACCGCTGTATGTAAAGCGTCTTAAGTGCTAGTAGCTCCCCCTTGTGGAGAATGTTCAGACTGCTGAGCACAGCTTCAAGACTCATTTATGCTCAGCGTTAAATACAGATACAGAAGGACCCTTCGGCCTGTACTCTGCGTTCTTTCATGGTATTTGTGCAGGTTCTCTGAAAGCTTCCGGATACAGATGAAACAGCACAGTACCAATGGAAGCCAAGGGGGCAGTGTAGCCAATAGCTCATGCAAAATATGTGGCCATTGACATCATTTGGAACGGATGTGTTCTTTTTCGTACGTAAAGAGTATAAATGAGCAAAATGAACAAATGTTTAGAATTATAAAGACAATTAATCGAGAATGTAAATTTAATTGAAATAGTTTAATTTTTCAATCAAGTTGTCATGACGTTTGATGTATGTGTGTGTGTGTGTGTGTGTGTGTGTGTGTGTGTGTGTGTGTGTGTGTCTCACCAGCTCCAGGCAGTGTCTGTGGCCATAGGCAGCAGCGTAGTGAACAGAACTGTAACCCTGCTTATCCTTCAGTGCGGCAGTGGCTCCACTCGTCAGGAGGAACTCTAGGCACCTGCATGCGCACACACACACACACACACACACTCAGTCAATGACTGCCTGAAGTCTGGAACCCATGGACATTACCAAATGCTGAGTTTCCTCACTTGAGATGCTTCGCCGAGTCTTTACTGCAGCTGCCTTCAGTCGCTGCTTGTTTGTGGGACGTTCTGCCTACAGTTTTGTCTTCAGTAAGTCAAAATCAGGCTCAATTGGGTTGATTTCAGGCAACTGAATCAGCCATTTAAGAACTATTTATTTGCTTTAAGAAGGTCTTGGGTTGCTTTCGCAGTATGTTTTGGGTCATTATCCATCTGCACTGTGAAGCGTTGTCCTATCAGTTTTTCAGCATTTGACTGAATCTAAGCAGAAAGTATAGCTATATACACTTTCATCCTGCTGCTTCTATGAGCAGTCACATCATCAACAAACACCAGTGACCCAGTTCCACTGGCAGCCATATATGCTTATGCTGTAATACTGCCTCCACCATGTTTCACAGATAATGTGGTATGGTTTGGATCATGAGCTTCTCCATATCCTTCTCCATATTCTTCTCTTTTCATCATTCTGGTACAAGTTAATCTTGGATTCATTTGTAAAAAAATCTTGTTGGGATTGTGCAGGCTTATTAGATGTTTTCGAGCAACGCCTAGTTCCGATGAACAGCTAGCAAATGCATATTCACCACTTGGAGTCAACTCTAGACCTTTTATCTCCTTGATTTGCCATGAAATAATGAGGGAAAAGGTCACAACTGGCCGTAAAACTGCTTATCAGCCAATTGTTCAATTACTTTTGAGCCTATGAAAATGGAGGGACTATGTAAAAAATGGCAGTAATATCTAAACGCAATATTTTTGTTGCATTAGAGTTGAATTAAAGCTGAAAGTCTACACTTCAGCTTTAATTAAACTCTAATCCAATGTACAGAAGCAAAATTAAAAAAATTGTGTCACTTTCCAAATACTTATGGACCTGACCGTAAGTCATACAGCAGGGGAAGTGTGAGTGCAAAAGAGGAACAAAGACATCAGATGCGGCCCTGACGTGAGAGCAGGATGAAGAGCAATAGGAAGGTTCCAATATGCAAACAATAATAACAGATAGTCTCTGGGGTTCACCACTTATTCAAATAAAGCCCTTTAACAGATCAAGAGTAACATGATTGTGTGCATGCGCGCGAGTACAATGTGGCAAGTGTTTGTCATTTTGCAAAGCAGTCTATAAAGTGTGCACACATACACACAAGTACAGGCATGTTTTTAGACAATTTTAGAATGTGGGATCATATACACATTTATGTCTATTATGTGTACAGTACGTAAACACCTATATGTGGTAATTCCTCATAATTCCTCATATATATATATATGTATGTCTTAATCTTATTGGTGTGCTTGGGTTCATTATCTTGCTGTAGATTTAATTTCTCCCCAGTTTAAACATTTTCCAAAAGGTATTGTATGATATATAAATATATGTTTGTACTTAATGGCCATTTTGACTGGAAATTAAAATAAACAAGACGGTGTGCTCTGACTTTTGCACAGTGCTGTTTTTTAAGGATAAACCTAGCCCTAACCTTAATCTCAGAAACAAACAGAAACAATATTTTCCTTTCATTTATAATGGAATAGCTATAATGGAAAAAATTACTTTACAAAATTTACAAATAAAACCAGGACAGTTTTGTTAGTCCTCACAATGTACAGTCACAGTTTTTCCTACAAAGTCAGGACGATTCTGCGCCTGAAAACAGGCACACGCATACACACACATATACACACACACACATACACACACACTCCAGTAGAAAGACTTTGCTGCAACATTAGCGCACATGCTCTCCCAAGCAAAGTTAAAAAGCAAAGCATCATCAGTTAAAAGGACAGAAAGCAGAGATGCCTGAAGGCCACAATCCATCCAGCTCGGTGCACTTACAAAGCTGCCTCCTTCTCCTTCTCCGCTTGCACTCCAGGACTCTCTGGCTCCAGGGCTACACGTCGCCTTTACAAACACACACACACACAGATAGAGTTTTTAAGATTTTAACTTGTTGTAGGACTTGCTGACCCAAATCCTGTAACTATTCAGGGGACAAGGAATCATGTCCAAATTACCACAGAGCAGCACTGGCCATCCAGGCTTGTCCAGCCCAATACTGCTTAGGTTCCCAAAAGCATGGCAGCACAAAGATGATTCTCAAATGGCAGAGCGAGCATTACATGAACACTCTCTCTACCAGTTAAAATGATCATAACATTAAGATGCTTTTGGGAAACCGGGCCCTAATTAGTCTATTTATTTCCACACTTCAGTGTGAGGTGGTAAGAACTGTAGCTACTGTCTGACGTCAGATCTGTGTCTGGGCACTCTCTACTAGGGACTTAAAATAGCCTGAGGTTGCCATGGTGACAGGTCTAGTACTGTAGTCCTGTAGTGATGTGCAGGTCCCTGAAGATGAAGGCCACAGCTGCTGATGAGGATGGTGGTACTGGCCCTAATTACTACTAGCTCATTTATTCTAATCTGTAGTTATGTATTAGTTAAGTATTCTAAACTCTCATTTGAAAATGTCTGGTTCCTACAGATTTGACTGGTATTTCTGCTTTGGTTTAATGAAGGGAAGTTAGACACCTACAGACATTGCTCAAGTACTCCAAAAGCTTTGTTATGGAAACCAGCTTTGGGAAACTGGGGTGTCTTTGATTCTCAGGGTGAATTTGAAAAGTTCTCATCAACTGATGCAGTCGGAAAAGTTTCCACATTGAATTGGTCACTGAACTATTTCCTAATGTCTGAGATATTATTTTATGATAGTTTTCAAATAAGATTTTGGGCTAAATGTTTTTTTCCCTAAATGCATTAATTGTGGAAAGGTACATGCAGAGCGTTGCGAGGCAAAATAGTCCTTTTTATCACTCTTCATTTTACCATTATCAATATTATATATAAAAACCAGCACTGGTGGGTTTTGGCCATTTAAGGGGTTAAAAATTGGGGTTCTGTCTTCACATGGTATTAGAGAATATATTGGCTGGTGAGAACACTGGTACTTATGACTCTGTCAGCTGTTCAAGCAGTGCTGAATGATTTGGAGAAAATACATAATTGCGATTTCTGCTGATTAATATTGCAACTGAGATTTAAAAGCGATTAAGCTCCAGGCTTGTCAAGAAGTCCAATACATCAATTTTTTCGGACTTGAGACTTAAACTAAAGGTCAGTTTTCAGTGTCATGCATGGGAGCGGGAAATTAACTTGCCCAGTGCTGGCAAGAGCGGGACAACACGTGTAGAGAAATCCTGCCAATTAATGAATAGCCTAAATAAAATAATAATCAGTAATATATTAAAAAATATCTAAAAGCAAGATACTAAAAACAAATAATTTCATTCTAAACAGTAGTAAAGCAACTAATCACAACAACAACTCATAAATTGCATTTTTGTAGGCTATAGAGATGGTGGAGCCTTCTGTCTGAAGGCCACAGCTGTGGAAAGTGTTCCTAATAAAGGCGAATACACGACACAAGTGTTCCTAATAAAGGCGAATAAAGTCTGACATGGGGTAGTCGTTTTAATTCATGACTAACACAAATGAAAACCAGTTGTTTGGCTCTGCAAGCAATAGTGGGACAAAAGTTTAGGTTGTGACCTGGAGTGGGATAAACAGTGCAGATTTTCTGCAGGAGAGGGATCAAATCCTGCAGGTGCAGCCGGGCGCAGGACTAAAAATCGTTCCCGCATAGACCTCTAGCTTGAACGCTGAATGTAGTGTGCCCGATTTTAAATTTAAAATTGATTAATCATTCCATTCTACGTGTGAGTGCAATTTCCTCGAGACAAATTTGGAAAGTTTATGCGTTAACAAGGATCATCGGGATGCACCAATACATGCACATTAAAGTCCTGCAGAAGAAAAACATGTTCAGTACCTCCTGTCCAGATCAGAGGCAGCAGCATAGTGCAGGGCAGAGCGCCCCCACTGGTCAGTGGCATTAATGCAGGTACCGCAGGACACCAGAGTCTCCAGGCACTGAAAATGACGACTGGCAGCCGCATAGTGAAGAGGAGTCCTGTGATCACACACACACACAGTAAATGGATTAGACAAAACAAAAGGTGCGTGACTCGTATGTTCTGAGGGTGCAGTGAGGTGAACTGAAAGGTTGACATGCACAATGAAACGTCAGAACACACACATACGTCCCCACATAGAGGGGATGACAGAAATAGCACACACTGGAGCCCTAATTCTGCTCTCCACCGGAGGTGAATGTACTGGTTCAGTCAGAGATAAATCTCAAATACAGCTCCTCTCCAAGCGTCACAACTCAACAGTGCTGACCAATTCTGTTCAGAAGCTTAGAATCACTTGCCAAATTAATTCATTCATTCATTTATCATCTGACCCGCTTATCCTCCTGGATCATGGGAGGTGGAGCCTATCCCAGCGCTCACTGGGCGGAAGGCAAGAAAACACCCCGGGCAGGTCACGAGTCCATCAAAGGACAGACACACAAACATACACATTCACACACACTCTCAAGTAGGTGTCTTAAGTGTATTTTATTTTATATTAAATCGAAGGGTGTTCATTTACATATTACAACCTAGAAACAAAAAGGTATTTAAAAAAAAAAAAGTTGAAACAACAAGAAATTATTAAATAATAAATAACATACTGTTATTATCTATTTATGGTCATTCTTGTCAAGTTATCATCACTTTTAAACCTAATTTATTACAGCTTGCAACAAATTTGAAACCTATGAAGCTGCAGAATATTAGCACCATAAAATACTCATTTGAAAACATTCATCTGCAAAAAATTGGTTTTATGTTAGTGTTGGATGCTACTGATACAATTTAATATCATTATATTTTCTAGTATATCACAGTACCACATTCTTTGATGATATTTAGGTTATTGTTAAGATATTTAAGATATTTAAGTATTACTCTGTGCTAAAATAATGTCTTACAAACTTGACAAACTTTCTTTTGATTGGACTGTTTTGCTCTGTTCTACTTTTCTTAAAAAGACATCAAAGGAGACTTTACATTCAGAACCAGACATCTGCAATGTTATCAACGCCACTAAAAGTAAAAAACAATAACTTCATGTGACACCGATATCAGTGTATTGGTTTACACAAAATATTGTCCAGAACTACTCACCAAATACAGTGATTCTAAACTTTTAGACATTCTGTAAACTCACAACCTGCTAAACATGGGAAAACTGATGGTGACGTAAATGCATACCTCCCATGTTTGTCCGTTCGGTTGTGGTCGGCTCCACTGCTGAGCAGCAGCTTCACACACTCCACATTACTGATAAAGAAAAGAACAAAACACACAAGAGGAAAATCAATAATACACTGACAGTAGCCTCTTCAGTGCTGGTTCAGGCAAAGAACCTGCATGATTCAGGCAGACAAGCGAAAAGAATGTAGATACAGAGTCACACAGGAACGCAGAAAGACACACTTTACTGTCAGATTGGAGTATCATAAATAATACTAATCTTTTATTTGCAAACACAAATACGTATCAAAAGTGTTAAGCTAACTCGCACTATGACACTTGATGGCTAGCTAGTTTATACCTGTCTATGAAAATGGTAGACTAATGGTAAGTCGCCTTTTTGTTGGGTTGAGTTGTGAAAATTTTTGCATCTTCAATCTTCAAACAATTATCCTTAAAATCTCAGGCTTTTTACACACTAAGGTTTATTATTTAGTAACCACATGGACTACAGTGCAAGCTGGGTAAGTTATTCTTAGAAGTGTGCAGTAAAACCATGGACCCACCAGTGGGCCCTGGCCATTTATGGGGTTAAATGGTGATCACAATTTTTTGGCTTAGAACTGAGATCATGATTCTCATTTATAAATCTTGGACATGAATTTTGTAAGAAGCAATATATATATATTTCTTTAAATCCTTACATTTCAAAATTTAAAATGCACATATCAATATAAACAGCTACTGCAAACATACTGTCCTGTTGGAACAAAATCTTGCATCTCAATTTGTCATTTTCAGAGATTCTGTTGTGACAGCGATGACACAGAGTAACTTAGAAATTGGTCAATAAAGAAAGTATAATTTCAATAAACAAAATAGAAACAAACTCCTGTTTGTAAAACAGAACAGAAGCAAACTGTTTGACCTGCACTCTAACCTACGAATCAACTAATTACAAACAACCTTACATATGTCTACACACACAGAATGTGTGGGTGTGCCTGTGTGTTCACACTAAAGGTCTGCAGAGTTGACGGCATAGTAACCGAGTAATGAATTGAGACTGCGATTTTATTGTGTTTTTATGCAGCCCTATGTGAAAGATCAGATATATCCCGCGGTCACTCGCTTGGACGTAGCAATATGCCAGCACTACTTTCTGTCAGACCCACGTGGTCAGCAGAAACAGTCTGACCCAGACACACTCACCCTCCAGCAGCGGCGGCGTGCAGACAGGTCCGCCCCAGGCTGTCCGGAGTGTCGATCTGGAAGCCTGCACACAGGACCGAGTCGTTACTGAGCGGGCAGATTATGCTATACCTCCGTCCTGAGGGTGGATGGAGGGATGAAGAGGAAGGGCACAGAAGAAAGGAAGCCCCCCAAACAGACAAACACAGCAACACCAGCAGACCCAGCAGAGGAAGAGAAACACAGGGATAGAGGGAAAAGAGAGAGAGAGGACGAGAAGGGCGTTAGTGCAGGATAAACACAGACTCAGAAGGAGGACAGAGACTTAAAGCGATAGTTTGGCGGAAAATCTGACATACACAATTTTCCCCTTACATGTTGGTGTCTGACATTTGCTTCTTAAGGAGCTACAAGGCCAACGTGGCTGAGTAGTAAAACCTTATGTACACAATTTAGCATCATGCAAACTACAATTCATCAAACCCTGTCGAGCCATAAAGTAATCTCAAATAGGCTTGTGATTTCTGGGGTGGGTTTTAGCGGTTCATATCTAAGTTTGGGTGTAGTCTTCATAAGTCCTTGGTTAACATTTGTTAGTTTTAAGCTATTCTTTTAATACATTCATTTAAGAGAATTCCAGCAATTTTTCACCAATCGCTAATTCAACCAGTCAGAATTGTTCACAGAGGTTGTGATAGGAACCAAACATCTGAAGAATTTAATTCCTCTAAAAACTCCCTCAAAAAACATCATTGCATGAAACCTTTACTAATATGCTGCCTGATGTCTGAGACTTTGTTTTATGTTCATTTTGAGAGAAGGTTTTGTCCTAAAACATAATTTTTAAAATCTATTCATGGTGGAGGGGTACATGCAGGGTATAAAACCCATGCAAAAAGGGTTTTATATAGTACTGAAAAAGGGTTCTTTGAAGGTTCTTTCACAACAATAGTGCAAACCTTTGGGGCTATATATATAGTCACTTTAAAAGGATTCTTTCAAAGAACAAGACATCATCATGGAAAAGAACCATCTGGCCATGCAAAAGACCATTTATGGATTCAAATGGTTGATTAAGTGTTCATGGTTCTATTTAGAAAAACTGCCTTTACTAAAAAAACACTTGAAGAACCATCTTTAAAGAGCGAAGAGCTGAAAGATTAATAGTTTTTATATCAAAATCACAATTTCAAAAGACGCAATATTTTTATTATAGCATACATTATCAGCGTAGTCTTAAATTGTAAGTGCAGAAATTTAGCCTAATCGTAACCTAACACGAAGCTGAAGATGATTTAGATCAATCAGAAGCGACCAAACACTCATGTGCTGTGTACAACACAACCAAAACTCTAACTCCATCAAACTACCACTGTCATGGCTTTGACAGTCACCATATTGATCAGAAAAACTGCAATTACACATTTTGCCCAACTTGTTCAGCCCAGCACTAGCAATAATCGAGGAGCTTCGATCTCCGATTATCTTTTATCTATTAGATTTCATGGCTTTGTATGGACCTAAACTAATAATTTTTATTATTTAATGTTTTGTTATATATATATATATATATATATATATATATATATAGCATACAATAGCTGAGTACTCGTGCTGGTCACATTTGGTCATATATATATATATATATATATATATATATATATATATATATATATATATGACCAAATGTGACCAGCACGAGTACTCAGCTATTGTATGCTTGGCAGTGGAATTGACCAAGTCACAAATGATTTGTAACTGTACTGTACAGCACTGCCCAGTAGAAAAGTGTCACATATGACATCATTTTAACTATAAAAATGAACAAAAGTACACTACACAGCTAAAAACAATTGTAGCAGCACTTTTGTCCAGTTTTAAAGATAACAGTCATTGTGTGTCACAAACCACACAAGCAAGTCTATTTGAGATTACTTAACCAGTCAGTTTGTGATGATTTAGGCATGCAGTCTGCACAGCGCTAACTGGTGGCTATAAGTTTCCATCACTTTCTAGTGATGTAGCCTCATAGCTTCGCTGCAAAACTAAAGTAAACTTCAGATACCAAATATGTTTTGGCTACATTTGCGGTACGGAGGAAAATCTAAATTTGACTTCAACAAACTACTGCTTTAAGATGACAAGTAATAAAGCATGCATGACGCAGACGGAGACAGATGAACAAACAACAGAGGGAGTGTGGTTTCCAGCAGTACTTCAAAAGGTCAAAGGGATCCACTCCTACGACTTGAACAGCCACTGCAGCAACTAATCAAAAGCTATCTTCAGGGTTTTAAACTACAAACCATGAATCTAGCGAGCTGAGCTGCTCAAACTGCCGAAACAGAACGGCGAAGGCATGCAGAGCTCAAACGCGTGAGGGAAAAACTCACGCAGTGACACTGAGACTACTGAGCACAAGGCCTCCAGAAAACATCAAACGTCCTGCGGAAGATCATAACTATGCTGTTTCCTAATAATGATGAGCGCAGGCCTGTAGTGGCCTCAGGGCTATGCACATCAGCCCATATGGATCAAAAATCCTCAGTGGGGGAGCAGAGATGAGTCAGGTTTTATTGATGCCAATTGATGATTTGTGTGATGAATGACTACAAGGATATTTTAAAAAAAATGAGGAACTGAGCTCCATACATGTAATAAAGCACTTTGTGCTAGATCTAGACAATAAAATGTTATCGATAATTATCAAAATCAAACTTTTTCTCAATATCAATGATGCATTTTTGAGGTATCTGGTGATCTTTTTTACTCAATCTGGTATTAGCAGAAAAGGCTTGAATTTTAAACAACTGCTACTTTACTTTACTCCAGCTGGCCTTTTGTACTCATTAAACCGAACAGAGAAAAGAAGTCTGGCCATTCACTCACAACAGCAAAAAGCAGCGTGACAGTTGGAAGAGTTAGCTAGCTACATACTTTGAGTGCTGAAATTATGCAGAAGAAAGTTTTTGAAGCTGCCGCTCACTGAAGGAAAACAGCTAGTAACAGTGCAATGTCTTCAAATATATTTCAGAGGTATAACAGTTCTGTTCATGAGTTTGGAATCACCATTAACATTTTTGGAATCACTGTTTTCAATACTGAAATGATTCTATTATGATACTACAAATATTAAATTAGGTTTCAATATTTTGTAGGAAGCTGTAAAAAATTAGATGTGCCCAGAATAATTAACAGAGCTGCAGATGATTCTATAATGAATAAGTAAGTTGTATATTCTTAAGAATGAAGTTCTAAAAAAATTAATAACGAGAATACAACCAGAATCAAATTTTGAGACAGAAAACTACTACAAATAGTAGGGCAGAAAGATGATTTTTTTTATATTCAAATCACAATTTGAAAGACTGCAATGTTCAAATCACAAGTGCTGCAATTTTAATATAGTCTGCATTATCATCAATGTAGCTTTAGGTTTTGAGTGGTAAAACTTAACCTAATAAGTGAGCTGTGTAAAACTCTGTAGATGAGACAGACCAACCAAAAAACAACCAAACATCCATGTGCTTGGCCAAAAAAAACTGTGATAACATGTTTTGCCCAATTGTACAGCCCTGATAATCAGATTATTTTATAGTGTGTTAAGTTTTTTGCCTCCTCCTGTAAAGCTACCATTTTGGAGACACGTTTTTTTTTTTTATTGCAACATTTCAGTATTTCAGTCTACTCTGTATACATTATTACTGAGTAAAATGACAGCAATTTTTTTATGACGAGTGATTCCAAACATTTGCATGGTAGTGTACTTTTGCTTATGACTGAGCATTAGGAAATGCATTCAATATTTATTAATAATTAGCAGCACTGTATGGCAAGAACATCACTTTATGCCCTCAACTGCAAACAGCTTATTTCTTTTCCAGTGTCAAATGCAATGCAAACCAATTCAAATGCACAGTCTCTATGTCAAAGTGATTTTAAGTCAGGGTAACAATCCTGCAGAGGTACCTGAGGAGAGAAGTTTCCGGCAGCAGTCAGCATGAGCATTCAGAGCAGCCAGATGGAGGGGGAACATTCCATGAACTCCTCTCCTGGAGAGACAAAAAGAGAAAAGAGAGGGGAAGAAAAAAGGGGAAAGTTTTATGAGCATCTAAAACAATATGCAACTAGAATAGTGTACCAAACTTTGACTGTAAAAGGGCATGCCTGGTGCAGTCGGCTCCACTGGTGATTAAGGTGTTGATGAGGAGTTCATGGCCGTAGCGAGCGGCAATGTGTAACGGAGTGTTTCCATCCTTATCCACGCAATCTATCTCTCCACCTGTCATTCCAAACACACACAGACACAAACATTTTATTTACGCTTCACTTTAAATATGCACATAGTGCTGTCACTGCTGATTATAACAGTAATGTCAATTGTCAATTATTCTGACAATTAATCAAGTAAATAGTGTTTTACAAAAATGTTAAACAATTAAAAGGGTCAATAACAAAACCATCATGCATGTGATGTTGTGTGCAATGTCAATGGTTTGGTTGTTCTTGCAATAATTTGATCATTTTTCATATAGTTTTTAGCATGCTTTAGTAGTTTTTGCTGTAGGTTTAATAAATCACATATTTACAACCTATAAATCATTTCTTAAACTAAAGCATTACAACATGAAGTAGCCAAGAAGCAGCTGTTAAGGTAGCTATGCCTTGTCTTTTTTGCTTTTAACAGATGTCACCACAACGTAAAAATCTTTAAAGCCCCTGTTCATGTTTCAGGAGAAGCCAATCCGTGAGTGCACAACTGCTGCACGGCTTTATCTGTTTAACAAGCATCAGTTGGGTGGGAAAAAAAGATCAACCCTGTGCTGCCACAGAATTTTCTAAAGCTAGACAACATATCAGGGCTGATTCAGGACATGAACTAACACTACCAAAGATCTTTTTTTTAACAAGAAAAACTATTGCAAGACAAATATAATTATTTTTGTGCATCTTGAAGCAGTGGGTTTTTTTTTTTTTAGACATTTACATCGTCCAGCTTGATTGACAGTCACGATAAATGGAAACTGCTATCTCAAGCTCACAAACCCTGCAAAGCCTTTTAGTGATTCTAAAATGTTCTACTGGAAAACAAACAAAGTAGTCTTTGAACATACTTCATTAAATTAATACAAAAAAATGCTGTGTGGTAAAAATGGATGTAAATGGGTGTGCCTATCAGGCTCCATTTCTTACTGTAAGAAAAACAAGTAGTAGAATTTAAAATACGCACTCATGCAAATTGGCTACTAATCATTGCTAAAAACTGCTCAGGAAGGAAATTTTTAGGGTTTTCTTTTTGGTAATCATAGCAGAACCACACTAACATTTTGACAGCCACATATCAAACAACTGGCAACTATCCAAAACCCCTCACCGTTCTGGATGAGGGTCTGGGAGCGGGTGAAGCGTCCATGCACCGCTGTCATGTGAAGAGGACTCTTCCCGTCTCGGCTCTGCGAGAGAGAAAAGAATGATCAGTGCAAAATCAATACAGGAAACAAAGGCCGGAGTGTCATTCATGCAAAGCACCACTCTTCCTAATGCTCTTCCAATGCACCCCTAATGCTTTTCCTGTGATTACCTCCACAGCCGAGCTGAAGTCTGTGGAGTGTCTTTCAAGTCTGTTACCCAAAATTGTTACAAATGGATAAACAGAATTTTGGAAACTCTTTATATACATTAATTCATGAAATCTTGTTGGTGCGCGTTCATGCCAGAGCATAAAGCTACAGCTAAATTCACTAGGCATGGTATACACTGCACACTGGTACAGGCATGCATACACTGCACAAGTCTGTCCCAAATGCATGGTTTTAAACCGAGTGCTCAAGGACTCTTGGCCTAGTCAAGTGCATGTTGCTGATGTCAACAAAGTGTAGACTTGAAGGAGGACCACAGGGTTAGAGTGCCAGCGAGTGAGTGAGTGAGTGAGTGAGTGAGTGAGTGAGTGAGTGAGTGAGTTACAAGCCAGGTCCAAGTGGTGCTTTGCATCAAAAATGTACATCAAGATGCAGAGGTCAGACCTACCAATATACTCTATCCTTTTTTCCCACCCCACTTTCCTTTCTTATACTTTGTTACATTTATTTCTGTGTTATTTGAATATCCAAAATATTTCATTGTATCATATTATGTTCACTTCTACTTATCACATTTAAATTCAACAGGAAACTCTGGGGAAAAAACAAAACAAAACAGAACAAGCCTGTTTCGGGCTCACCTGCACATTGACATCAGCTCCATTGTTGACCAGGAACTCCAGGCAGAGGGCTCCATGTGTGGATGCAGCAGCAAAATGGAGAGGAGTGAAGCCTTTGTTGTTGGGCTGACTCACGTTGGCCCCATAGTCAATCAGTTCACTGACCACCGCGTCCTGACCGTTAAAACAGGCCACGTGCAGGGCTGTGTTTCCAAACGCATTAGCCTCATCAATCTGTGGGATTTAAAGAAGGACATGGATGACTGAAATATGGAAATACTATCTGTGTATCTGTTTACTGAGGGTGATAAAAGACTACAATGTTCCTTCAGATACTTAAGGCTTGATGAGCCTTTTAAAGTGGACTTTTTTAAATCTCTGCATAATTAACTTGTTAAGATGTACACAAAGCCATTCAGAGCAGTTTGATGTGAAACGCTCCAATCTAGAGAAACTTACTAAACCAGAATTGTTCATGGTGGAGGTGACAGGAACCAGATGCCTCTAAAAGCTCCCTTACAGAAAGTTTTTACATAGAATGGTTAAGAATACACCACCTAATGGCTGAGACATTGTTTTATGATAGTTATGGGACCAGTTTTTGGCCTAAATTATTTTTTTTTAATCCTTTCATGGCAGAGAAATACAAGCATGGTGTTGTGAGGCAAAATATTTCCCAAAGATGTATTTTTTTCAGATTTACCACTATTTCACCATTATGAATATTACATATGAAAACTCAGTAGACTCATGTAGGTTCACTGGTTGTTTTGGATAGTAAATAAAATGGCTATTTTTGTGTTGTAGACACAATGCCTGATTCTTATCACCACTGTAAAGAAAATTTGAGTTTATTATTTATCTTCTTATTATTAACCCCACTCATTGTTTTAACATCATGAACACATTTTCCTAGTTTGACCCTTTAAGCCATCTATAGTAGTCCAGCTGCAGCGTGCTATAAATTGCTATCATACAATCAGAGACTGTATCTCTCTCATTTGCATACAGTTTTTAAGTGGCTTTTAAAGCAATTATTTTGTCACCTTGGGCAGTCAGTGCTGAACAGTGATCATCTGAGACCAACAAGCAGCAAGCTAACAAAAGCAATAACAAAGTGGAAAGCTACAGTTCCCTTGTAAAAAAATCCATAAGCTGTATGAATGAGAGTGAGAAGATACATCTGAGGAGGAGTTGGAACATTTTACTCTATATATGATATATATACACTTTTTGGTTGGAACATACCACCACTGCTGTTCTCAACTAGACGTTGGTGATGAAAACTGAAACCTTTGTTCACTTTATGGAAATCAACGTTCAGTTCATGTGAATTCTGCGTTAACATAGGATAATGCTGGATTACTGAAATTATAAATGCATATTTTTGTCCAGTCACATAACAAAAGGCACTGCTTTTTTAAAAAAAAAAATCCTTCTTTAGGGTAAAATTTGAACAAATAAAACAAATGCTTTTCCCATTTAATACCCTTGCTTCCATACCTTTGGCCTGTAGCATGTGTCCACTTAGATCCCAATGTGCAAAGATAATTCAAAGTGAACATGTAAATGTGCACTGGTGAATGTAAGACGACCCACAGCTGTAGAAATTTTCAACGAAAATTGAGGATACTTATGTAAACATGTACATAAGTATGTGTGTAAATACCTCCACAGACAGGTTGAGCAGGTGTTTGACCACACTGATCTGTCCATTGGAGGCGGCAGCATGGAGAGGTGTGTATCCTCGCTTGTCCTTACAGCTGACTTCTGCCCCCTGGTCCACCAGCAGGCACACCACGTCTAAGTGACCTGCAGATAGAACACACTTCAGTCTACAAATACACCCTTTTGTACTGTCATGATGGAACAAGAGAAGGCCGTCCCCAAACTGTTGTCACAAAGTTGGAAGCATATAATTGTCTAAAATGTCTTTGTATGCTGTAGCATAATCATTATCCTTCACTGGAACTAAGGAGCCGAACTTTACTGTTGGCCCTATGCATCCCAGTAGGTAATGCATACAACTGTAAAGGACGGTATTACGGGGTGCCTGAGCTAGCTGAGCATTTTTGCATGATGGTGGGCGGGTAGTGGGAGGTTGAGGTAAAACATAATATTGGTGGTTAATCAGTGGTAAAACATAATATTGGAGACCACTGGTGTACGGTGATATAATCAAAAGTCAGAGGACGTTTCTGAGCACATTTTGATTTGACTGTAGACGATTTGAGTTGGTTAAGACTAAATTTGATGCAGGTGACGTCAGATCTGCCAATGTTCCAATATCCCAGCCAAAACTCTGAGTAAGTAGTTATTTAAGCTTTTCTAAATTTGTTTACATTGCTTTTTATGAAGGTTTACTACATTGTTTTTTGTAGTGTAGATAGATGCTGCATCCTATTTGCATTATCCACCTGTTGTCCTACTATAAGCAATTAACTTAATTTACGAGAGAGTGATAACTGGTAGTCCACCTTAATTGTAGGAATAAAACAATACATTAGCTGCTCCCCAATATCAAGGCTCACAGTGTTTCCCTGCAACAGTACTGTACTGTCGTGGTGCACAATAAGATACATAAGAAATTTCTCTACTGTGTCCACAAATTCGACCATGCTGACTCGTGACGGAAGCTTGGGTCACCTCAGTTTCAGGAGCATAGTCCAGCAGTTAGTTAGCTAGCTATAGGTTATGAATATAATGTTAGCGCTGAGTGTTAAAATATCAGACACACTGTGTCTGTGATCTACCCATCATAACATGAAGGTTCTCGAACATTAGCTGCTAAAAATATATTTATATATAATTAATATATTTAGATCTCTAAAATGATAATTAGACAGTTTATTCTCCATTTTGCACTTTTTTTTCAGAATTCAGAAACCAATCAAGAAGAGTAAAGTGGTAGGAGGATCAAATATGTAGCGCTGAGCCACACCGTTTGCTGGTCTCGCTAATCACTGGCACAAGGTTGTTTACATTATTTGTGTTCTAACACGCTCACACAGCTCTGAAAAGGCAGCAGCTTTGGATTTTTGGAGCATTTATCTGCTATTGTATTAATTTATATATATAGTCCTCAACTATTGCAGTGCTAAATTCTTTTTCCATGGCATCTTTTCTATTAAAACTAACATTTAAACATCTGAAACCATGTTGACAGGAGCTTTAAATGATATGATAAACTGTGCTTAATATGACCAGAGACAAAGCAAAAAGGTCAATTCTGTTTACAAGGTGTCTTTAAACCAGTAGGTTTGCTACTTGTAGCGACTCTACTGCCCATTACTGCACAAACACACAAACGCAGACAGTTTGTCAGTCGAGTGTGCAAGTGATTGATAAAGTTTTCCCATCTCACCCATGTACGCAGCCCAGTGGAGAGCACGGCCATCCTTCTTATCAAAGGCATTGATGTTAGCACCTTTAGCCAAAAGCAGGCTGACCATCTAAAAGGCAAAAGACACAGAAATAAACAGATCAAGACAGAGACGAGATTGTAAGAGAGGAGGGATGACTGTGTCAGTCACAGTGGGTAACATGTTGAGTCAGTCATGCGTCAGTGTGTGTGTGTCTCACTTTATATAACATTGCTTTAAATACCGCTCAACAGGATGACGGTTCCACCAAAAATCAAAGCCGGAAGATGGATTAGGAATTGAGAATGAAAGTGTGTCTGTAGGAGGATTCTGTGGGCACATTTCAAGTATGTGATGTGAGGCAGTATGAGTGTCTCAACCCACGGGTTCCTGTTAATGTAGCACTTCATACAGCCCAGGGGCAACAAGTCAGCCCAAACTCTACTGCCTCGCTCATTAGTAAAGATTAAGAGGCAGTTGCACTGAGGTACATGACTAATCTTTTATTTGGATTCAGGTTAGCTCATTCCTAAACTTGATTTGACTTTGCCAATCCTCTACAAACATGTGCTTCAGGGGAATTCCAACAGATTTTTAAATTTTCTGCATAATTCAGTGATTCAGATGTAAACAAAGTCATTCAGAGTGGTTTGATGTGAGATGGCTGATTGTAGAGAAACTTCCAGACAGATATGTTTACAATAGTGGTGACAGGAACCAGGGGTTGTGATGTCTACAACACAAATTTAGCTTTTTATTTACCATCCAAAGCCACCAGTGAACATACAGGTCACCTTAGTCTTTACATGTAATGTTTATGGTAAAATAGTGGTGCATCTGGAAAAAAAGCAGAACCCAATATTGTAATAATTTCCCTTTAATGTAATAACAGCCAGACTTGATCAAAAATGTAATAAAACCCAATAGTGTAACAACCTCTCCAATAATGTAATACAGACTAGGCAAGTTAAAGTCTTGCAAGAAGTTTTAAAAGTAGAGGCTCTTTCTGAAAGAAAAACAGACTTTTCTAAAACTTATTCTCATTGATGCTCCCATCGTTCCAGGCTGGGTTGATTCCTGTGTACAGCACAAAAGCCTAGTGGGAGACCTATGGTAACTTAAAGTATTACATCATCCATTTGAGCAATAATGATCAACCCTTCAATACAACGTCCAATAATGTAATAATGTATTACATCATCAGTAAAACTATTAGCACATTATGAGTTAAGACACTGAATCGTATTACTGGGCAAGTTATCACATTATTGGGTTTTATTACATTTTTGACCAAGTTAAGTGAAAAACCTTTATTACATTTTTGGGGTTATTACGTTCTTGGGAAATTATTACAATATTGCCTTCTACACGGCATAGGATTTTGCCTGGAACATTATATGACTCAATACAATTTCTCCCTTTTTCCAAATGTTGCCGTTTAGTTAAAACATGTTTGGTGTCCAGAGACTGCTTATTTAGTTTTGCATTGGAGCTATGAGGCTAATGACACTCAGAAATAACAGAAGCCTTTGTAGGTTTTCGTTAATTGAAGCTTATAGCCACTTGCTAATATATACATACATATATATATATATATATATATATATATATATATGTATATATATATTAGCAAGTGGCTATAAGCTTCAATTAACGAAAACATACAGCGCTCAAGTAAAGACGCAAACTTCAGACACCAAACATATCTGGGCTGATTGAGTATTTATAGGATAAGAGAAAAAACTTTAAAGCCTGAACTCCAGATGATGTGTATGGACTGCTGTACCTCTGTGTGTCCATTGAGGGCGGCATGGTGCAGGGCGGTGCGTCCCCCACGGTCAGAGACGTTTACGCTGCTGAGGAGCGGGATGATGACCTCAGCGCAGCGCAGAGCCTTGTTAGCTGCAGCCAAGTGCAGCGGCGTCTGCCAGTTCTTATCCCGTGCGTTCACGTCAGCCGAGTGACGGATCAGCACACGCACTGCCTCCTGAAGATGATGAGGAATGAGAGCGTAGGGAACAAGCAAAACACAAAGCACATGAAAGAGTGAAAGTGAATCTCCTTGTATAGTCACTGGTAATCATTAACAGGATGTGCAAGTGGTGAATTGAACACCAAGAGCTTTCTGTTCTCAAATACAACCCAAACAAACAACATTAAATTTAAGCAAATCATCCTTATTACATGCTACACGTGGCAAGCGATGCAAAAACAGGCACTTCAGTTTTCATGCGTAAACAAAACATGGTGACATCCTTTCTAAAGACTTATATTATTCTTTTTGTAACCAAAACTTTTGCCTATTCAAAGCAGGATATGTAAAGGCAATCTGTCACTGTCATAAGAAAACCGCCTACATCCGGTATGGTAATTTAAAGGAGAGGTAGAAAAACAACACACAAAAAACACACAAAAAAAACACACAAAAAAACAAAACATTCCAAATCATTAGAAGTTGCAGTTATGGTGATAACAAAAACAATGTAATTCAATATTAATTGTTCCTCCCTTGTAGCTCATTGATGTTACTGGAGAACCTTTGTTAAAATATTGATTCTAAATAGGCTTGTAATGTTGTGAGCAATATACCATCATCTTGTCAACCTGAAAAATTGTGTTTGGTATGCAAGATATCATCAGTTACACTCGTTTGAACTAAAACACTGATGTGTGAATAAATTGGTCTGATAAACTGCATTTAACTGTTTTGCATATAGTTTTGTTTGCAATAACAATAAATAACTTTAATTTCATTAAAAAATGTAGTCAATTTTTGGCAGATTTTGGTATTGGTAACAACAGAATTAAAGTCGGAAAGTGTAAACACAAACCTGTACATGTAATTAAGTGTGTAATTACGTAATTAGACATAATTACGTAACTACATTTGAATACTATACATAACTAAAATTAACAACTCTCAACTACAGTATTCTCAAATGTTCACATAAAAAGAGCAGTTAGCATTTTCAAATGGCATAAAAACATTTTAATAACTTTTACTGACTTTGTTGCTTTTTGTGAAACTGGAACAAAAACAAATTTTTCATATTAATATTCTTATTTCTATGAAGTGTATTCTGTGTGGGCTCTTCTTTGTGCTGTTGTTAGTTTAGCTGCAGTAGTCTTGCTGCAGTACTCAGTGAGCTCTGCTATCTGAGCCATCTTGTGACGGTTCCTGTTGTCCCAGTTTCAAACTCATTTCCAGTGCAGTTTCGCTAGGCTAGCAAAATAAGCCCTGCTCTAGCCTGCACTCTGCTGCACTGCAGAGCATGTGCTGTCCCTGCCGTCTTAGTTACTTGACACCTGTGCCCCAGCATGAATCTCCACCTCCGTAAACATATTTGTTGTAGGCATGTTTGCGTGTCTGACGGTTCAGCCCACCTCACTCCTAGATGCCACAGCCCTGTGAAGAGGGGTGAGCCACATGTTGTCTTTGGCATTGACCCGGGCCCCTGAGGGAGACAGTGAGAGACACAGTAGAAAAAAAAAGAAAGAATAATTGAAATTTAACACCTCTTAAATTAGCTAAAGCATTTCAGCACCTTTCTGGTAGCCAATGCATCTAAACGAGGCAGAGTTTCCACAATGAACATGTTACAAAAACATCACAAAGATCATCATAAACCAGCAGATGAATATCACTGCAAATAAAACTGTCTTCAACAGTCGTTATGATCTGTATACTATGAGGCTTTCAGGAAAATAGTCTCAGATAACTGTAACTGAATAATGCAGTAAGTTAGAGAGATCTGCTGTACCGGAGAGGATGAGGAGCTCGGTGATCTCAGCATCACCCAGAAACGCTGCAGCATGGAGAGGAGTACGCTTCTCAGCATCCTGAGAAAGAGAGAAAAAGAGAGAGAGAGACAGAGGGAAACCCAAGAGAGAGAGTCAGAAACAGAGAGGGAGAATGAGAGGGGGATATAGAGAGAGAGGAGACAGGGAGAGACAGGGAGACAGAGATAAAGAGAGAAAGACATTTGCTAACCAAATATCATGGTTGTGGATATCAGGGTGTGCAATCTGTAGTGCTGTGGAGATCAGCTGTTCTCTCTCTCCCTCTCTCTCTCTCTTTCAGGGGTTCTTCATTGTGTGCTGTGTTTGCTCTCTCACCGCTCTGGGTTGCCATGCCATCCTGAACATGCTCTCTACTGAAAGGCCCAAAGTCTGGCCTTCTTTTAGTCTGTTAGCATGCCATTACAAATCACTCAGGAGGGCCTGAGAGAAACAGCCAGCTTTGACCTGCAGTTTGACCAGTGACGGAGGCAGTAACAGTGCGTGTCACTGACAGCAGATACGTGTCAACATGTTCATTGTGAAGGCCAGTTTGTACCCTGAAATCATCAGCCACAGGCCACAGATGTGCAGCGCTGGGCCTCTCAAACAGTGCAGGGCAGGACAATGAGATCATTCTGACTGGAGCCATGATGGAAGCTATCTCAAGAAGAGCAGACTAAATATTCGAGGAGAAGAATAGCCGAGAAAACAACTTTGTGTCCTGTCTCCTCTGCCCTCGAGTAAATATATTTCTGTTTTGCCCATTGTCTGTACGCTTCCTAAACCATGTCCGCTGTACACCACTGAAACAAAGAAGCTGAATGTGGGTAGTGGAGGCTGCGGGGAAGAGTTACATACCAGTGCATTGATGTCCTCCGATTTGAAGATGAGCATGCGTATCTCCTCAGGGTCTCCATTGAAGATGGCCTGAACAAGAGGTGGCTGTGAAAAAGCAAAGTGCATTTCAGGCTGTATATAAGGACACTTGGGCCAATGATTTGAACCATTTTAGACCTTTTCATTTAAGAAATGCATTAGCGAAAAAAATCTAATTTACACAATTGTCCCCTTACTTTAAACATAACGCTGGCAAACCTGACATGTTTGGTGTCTGAAGTTTGCTTCTTTAAAAGCCAACAAGTAATGAAAGCCTACTTTGACAGTCAAGATCACCCTTCGTTTATTTAATTCCCAGCCAAAAACAGTTTCCACACTTGGAGTTCAAAAATGATTCAATATAGAGAATATGTGACTCCTAGCAGCTGTGCAGGACCTGGTAGACCACCAAAACACTCACCATCTGATAAACGGTACTTAAAGCTTTCATCTTTGAGAGAGAGGAGAAAATCAAGCTCCACTCTTACTTCAGATCTGAAAAAATCTGTCCATCCTTCCACTGTGAGAACACAACTCAATGCTATAAGTCTGAACGGCTATGTAGCTGTCAGGAAGCTCTTACTGAGAAAAGAAAAAAGACAAATAAGAAGGAAAATGTGCAAATCAAACAAAGAACCTGCTGAACAATGGACTGACCACCCCAGAGTACAGACCTCAACACTGAATGTTGAATTACTTGGATTGAGAGAAGCAGAAAATGCAACCCAGCTTTAAGACTGATCTTTGGAAGTGTGGAAAAACATTCCTGCAGATTTCGTAAAAATTGAAAGCATCTCTCCAAAACACAGTTTCAAGATCTTGAAGCCAAAGGCTGCACAAACTAAATACTGAAAAATATGATATTTAGTTGTTGATGGTCGTTTTGACTGGAAATTAAATAAACGAAAGATAGCCTCAAATTTTTGCATGTACTGATGCGGTTTGATGCAACCACGTTTAAGCATGTCATTCACGTGATGCTGGCAGAGTGTAAGAATCAATTACTTGGTAGCTTCTAAATAACAACGCTTCTTAATAAGCATAAGCTTCATAGCTCCTGTGCAAATAAGAAGTAGGAAGCAAACTAAGGACACCACGGAAAAGAAAGTGCTAGCAGTTAACATATATCCTGAAAGACGAAAGGATCATTGCTGATTGCTGACATAAAGAGCAGCCATTTATCTCTGAGATCAGGCAGAACGCGCCAGCATGAGGGTGATAATCATCAGTCTGTGAAACTGCATCTCCATAAAGAATCACACAGCCACAAGAACTGACATCTTTACCGGGAAGCCAAACTTAAGATCAATGCTAAGTGGACTGCTAGTAGCACACACAACCCCAAATCCGCATCTACAATTACCACCAGCAAGCTGAAAGCAAAACCTAGAAATGACTAATCAAAAATTCTGCGAATGGAATAAAGAGAAAGGCAAGAAGTTCCCACCCCGAGGACACATTGTGAGCAAATTATGGTCGGAGTATAAGCGAAATACATTTTTGTTATCTGTATATAATTATGTGAGAAAAATGCATATGCTGAGTGCTGACTAGCAGGTGAGGGAATAAAGAAGAAAATGAAAAGATGGAGCATATGCGAGGCTGAAGTTAGCCCCAAACCAAGAGCCTTCATGCACTCCAGGCCGATAAAAGTGTCCAAGGCCAGCTTGTCCACACATATCAAAATGGGCAAAAAAGCAAACGAAGGTAAAACAGAAATGACAGGCTCGGTAAACAGGCTCTAAGTGAGTAGCACCAATACCATTTTGACAGAGCTAAAAAAAAATGAATAACCAATATTATTAGTTCAAACAATTTAATACGGTAAAAAATTACATCGTTAAATCAACTTTTTCCATTATGATTGTTCGCAATTGTCACATTTCACTCAAATAAACACCAACAACTTAGAAAGTCTTAAATAACTGTGTCCAATAATGTATAGATGGGGGGCAGCCTTCCAGAATCCCTATTGGTTTTATTAATTTCTGTTAGTAATAACGAGAAAAGTGAGCTGTAAAAAATATTCTGAATTCTTTTGGATCTTTCATTCAAAATATTAGCAAAAATCTAAACTTTATTTAAGGTATAATAATTAAAGAAAAAACTAAATCTTGTCATGAATTATAAGCATATCTCCATTAACGCTTTATGTTTTGAGTTCACTTGAGCGATTAGGAACAGTTAAATGGTCAACTATGATTTCCTGTTTCACTGGGGAATATATATATAGCCTCTATATAAAGCCTCTGCTGTCCAACAAACTCAAACTCCTACAATTTGCCAAACAGTACTGGAACTTTCAGTGGGACCGTGTTCTTTGGTCAGAGGAGCCCAAAATAGAGGTTTTGGCAACAAATACCAGGTAAGTTTGGCGTGGGCACAAAGACTGCCATGCAGAAAAGTACCTCATCCCCACTGTGAAATATGGTGGTAAATCTGCAAAAAACAAAATCAAAACCTGCCTGTCTCTGCCACGAAGCTTAAACTGGGCTATAAACTGGATCTAACAGCAGGACAGTGATCCAAACCTCACCTCAAAATCAACACAAAAATGGTTCACAGAACACAGAATTAAGGTTTTGCCATTATACAGAAGTCACCCAGCACACGGCCTGTTCACCACACTGCCATCAGACAGGAGATACCGCAGCATCCAGGATAGAACAACCAGTAATGAACAGTTTCTACCCACAGGCTGTCAGGTTTCTGAACAAGCTGGGAAGCTGTGAGTCATTCCCTAATACCATTTCACTCTGTCACTTATTTTCTAAGTCACTTTAAAATATATATATGCTCTATTCTCAGATTATCCTTTGTCTAATATGTTTGTACATAGTAGAGAGTTTTCTTACATAGGTCCCTCCTGTCACTGTATATTTTGTGTTTATTTAATAGATTTCAGTTATTTAGTTTTTTTTTTTTGCTTTGTTTTGTTTGCACTGTTTTTAGTATGCATATAATGCTGTCTTGCTGTAGAGTGATTACTTACTCCATTTCAATGCATGAATGTCCTGATATGCTGTGCAAATGATAAATAAACTTAAAACTTGGCCACCCCAGTCCCCTGACCTAAACCCCATAAAAAAACTGTGGGATGAGCTGAAGAGGAGACTCTATAGTGTACACCTCGGAATCATGGAGGAATGATCTCAGATCCTTTGCCATATGTTCTCCAGTCTGCTTAAGCATTACAGGAGAAGACTCAGAGCTGTTATGTTGGCAAAAGGAGGCTTTACAAAGTATTAAATGGTGGGGTGCCAATAATTGTGGCGCATACAGATTTGAGAAACATTTTATTTCCTAATAAGATTTAGGTTTTCTTTTCAATCATACACAAAAAAGGCTAGATTTTTGTAAATATTTTGAAAGATGGATCAAAAGGCAATAAAAATGTTTTTTGCAGCCTATTTTGCTCATGTTTACCAGGGGTGACAATATTTGGGCACTGTAGCTCTCAGTTCAGTCTGTATTGCTGTAATAAAAGTGAACAGGTGGTGACTTTAAGCCAGTCTCTTCAAAACCAGCATGTCTTGAAGTGTACAGTCTCATGTGTTTTTGTTACAACACAAATTAAACTCATTATCAGTGGGATTTTCACCAATACCGGTTAAATGGCTGTGTGTCAATATCAGACGATATTATTGGCCAACTGATATATTGTCAGAGCCTTCTAATATAGTTTCTAATACAGTCACCAACCCTGGTCCTGAGTAGAGTTCAGTGTTCCCAATCCTGGTCCTGGCAACCCCAGACTATGCACACTTTTCATCTAGCAAACCAGATTCAACTCATTAACTAATTAACAAACCCCTTTAGGCCGCATCAGGTGTGTAAGAAAAACACAAACATTTGCAAAGGGGTCACCAGGAATGGAACTGCCAACCCCTGGGATGTGTTCAATATAGCTCAGTGTATACAGTATATACCGTAAACTGCACGCCATTCTTCATAGTAGTAGTATACAGTACAGTATCTAGTATACATACTACAGGGAAAGGGTGTGACTAGACTGTTGACATAAGGGGCCATTTTTCTTAGCCCTCAAATCACTGCTTAGCAACTGTCACCACTTTTCAGCACTTGCAACTGGGTTATATTTTGGTCAAAATGCTCCTTAAATTTTGTCCTGGAGGGTTGGTATCCAGCAGAGTTTGATGATTTCCTCACTCAGACTCATGTAACATCTGTTACTTGCCAGGTTGTTATTATTATTATTATTATTATTATTATTATTGTGCATTTGAGAAATCACCAAACAGTGCTGGACACTGGCCCTCCAGGACCCTGCCCTATACCAGAACAGATTGGAAGGTCAGCTTGAAAATGTCAGCTTTGGATACGTCTGTGTGGTAAACCTGTGTGGTTTCCAGAGACACCTATGTTTTACTATACTTGCTAGTCAGTCTTGTAATTTTCATGTTAACTATGCAGTATGTTAACTTAAATAGATGAAGTAAAAAAAAATGATGGAGACTCAACACTGAATGCAGCAGCAGGACAAATGATTGTCCTTCATTTCATTTATGTATGCATAAAAGGCTGAATCCAAGCCTATTAAAAATATCCAGGGCAAACCAGGCAGTTACGTCAATGGTTACGTCCTCCTGAAATGACTGTGTTGCATTATAACATGAACACTATATACTTTTGGCCAGAGCAGTACGTAATTATTAACGTCACTAGCATACTGAAGGCATTCATGTTGGTCACATACTGCATACCACTTACTACTTCTGGGCACAATCCGTTCATAAACAGTATGTAAAAAAATCTAAAAAAAAACTGTAAGGTAAAAATTACAATGGTAAAAATCTTACAAATTACAGTCATTTAATTTCTTAGAAATACTGCCTCTAACTGTAATTCAACAATTTCACAAGTTGTTCAACTAGTTGTTCTGACATATAGAATTTTACCATTATAAGAACAGTAACAACTGTTAAAATATATGCAAATGTCTGGGAAATAAAGAGAATAATTTGTTTTTGTGAATTTATATTCCATTTCTATTCTAAATTAACAATAGCAGTGTTAAGATATACTATATGTATGGTTTATTTACA